ACTAAAAAAAACTAAGCCAACAATATATTATTTGATTATTTCCAAAAACTTGTATATTTAATATAAAATATTACTTTTATACTTACCAATCAAACAGATTTATATTTTTCTATACTACTGAAAGATTTGGATATCTTATTGTAATAAAAATTACGTAATTATATATTTTTTTGCAAATAATTTTGATTATTTAAACTACTAGTGCTCCATGTGAACACATTTTTCTATTGCTATCTTTTTTTTGATTATATTTATTATTCTAAAATTAGATATTGATATACTGTACATGATACCTAAAAAAAGTTCGGATCCGGAGATCATTATATACATGTAACTCAAAATACAGTATCTATTACACTGGTCTGTTTGGTTAAGGAAACTTACCCGCGAAACACTTTCCCTGTCGATATTAATAGAAACAAGCTTGTTGGCTACCTTAAGGAGACTATCAAAACAAAAAAGATACTAGAGTTTGATAGTTTTCTTGCTGACAGACTCAAGTTATGGAAGGTGGAAATTCTTGATCATGAACTTCTGGCAACGAAAAAGATTTCGAAATACTTCCCTGACTTACCAGCTGAAAAATGTATCCATATCAATTGTCGAACCACCCGCATCAACCGATATTTCGAATCATGAACAGGAATTACTTGACCGCGTCACACAGTTGGAGGCATCGATTAACAAATCTGTCCATGGTATGTGTTTTATCTGCTTCCAGCAAAAATTTGTCGGCATTTTTTGGGACCCACGGTCTCGCAAATTTCTTGGCCAAAAAACTATGAACACTGTTCACGCTCAGAATATTTTTTTGGAAAAAGTGATCTGCGTTCCGAAACGGAATGGAAATGCATGATTTTTTACTAACTAAACCTTTGTATCGCAGAGTTTGACGTCTTCGTCCATCCGAAACGGAAGGCAAATAAATGAACTGCAAATATTGAACATGTGACTTCAAAGATTATATACATAAGATGTATCAACCACTCGCACTTGCAAATGATGGGGCAGAACTCAACGCGTTAAATGATAGTGGAAAATACTTCATTCGTACCTACGTGAGATGCTCCGCATATTTGTAACAAAGAATAATCTCGAGTTTACAGTATCATTTTCAGATTGGTCATTCTCAATGGTGTGTCAGCTTTACGGACTTACCGAATCGGATGATCTATCATTATCAGTATTCTCACTTTTTACGTGTGAGTACAAGAATCTGAAAGACGAATCTTCCTAGGCAATACTTAAAACATTTTATAGCTGAACTAGAGGCCCGTCTCAAGACCATTCCAATCAATGGAAATGAAGCATAGAAATCGCAATATGTGTGTTCATACTTGGTTGCTAGTGCAAACCTGTACGAAGGCAAATTTGAACTTCGGTCAGAAAAAAATATCACAGGACCAGCCGATTTTGCAATAGACTTGCTCAAAACTGCAAGAACAGTTAGCGTGACAGAAGTAAAGGATGAAGATTTTTAAAGGATATTGCTCAGAATGCCGTCCAACTTGAATCAGCTTTGCCTAACCGTAAACATAAGGCCAGCGAGATAGAGGAAGAATGTGTGTTTGTAGGTAAGATGTTTGGAATCGTCACAGATGCGGAAAAATAGTAGTTTATTAGATGAAGTATCTTCTGTAGAAGGTGCGTCCTGAGTATTATTAACGATTTGATCTTTCTTTTCTGCAGAGCAGGACATTTTTTGCCTAATTTCCTCGATATCATTTCTTAATTCCGTTACTTCAGCTTTAAGGTTTATATTCTTTTTGCTACTTTGCTCCAGTTTCTTGATTCTAATCCAATACTCAGCTTCACATTCGGCATTTTCTTTTACAGTCTGTTTCAATCTTGTGTTCTCAGTCTTGATATTGTCATTCTCTCAATCTCGGCTACGAACCTGGAATTCAATTCTCTCAATGAATTGCATGATTGATATCAATTTACGTAATTTTATCGAAAAGTTCGGAAGAATACTGTATATTTCATAATATTTTTTATTATTCAATACCTTCAATTTCAAATAAAATACATGTAACATGTAAGGCGATATTTTTTTCTTTGTAAAAACCGTGACAAAATGTCACGATCAGAAAAATTTTTTTATTAATACATGATCATCTAACCCGACTCTTCTGCAAGATTACTCGATGATATATGTTTTTTTACTACCCTCGATTGATTTTCACCTTGTGAAACTTCCGCCGGCTTCTGCGCCTCAAGAAATGAGACCTATACTTCAACCGTATTTTCCATATCCTCATTATTATACACAACTACTGGTTTCGATGGTTTGAATCAACTCATCGAAAATTTGCCAAGATAATAGTTCTACGCAGACAGACTTACGATGTGATAATATAGTTGATAATGCTTCAAATTCTGACTCACGGAGTGAGGATGTTATCGCATCTGAACCTAATAGCCGGAGGCGAGCTCACGCTAATGCTTAGGTATCTGATATAACCAATAACACTTTAAATTCTAACGATACTCATGGCGAGGAGTCAAACATATATAAATTTGATATATACCAGGGTTCGGAAACCCTCACATACTGTATGTTCATACAGAATCCAAATCATTGGAAGAAAGAAATAATCCAGAAGATTAAGGAAAAGAGACTTCGGGATCAAGACTTATCTTTAGCTAATCAACCGGAATCTAAAAAGATGACACCACTTCATTATGCAATCCAACAACCATGACAAATTGTCACGATCAAAATACCCTTGAAAATTCTGATACCGTCTCCATTAGCATTGCCAACACAGCTGAATTATCTGAATCCGATAATCAAATCGTAGAAGGTTAATACAAGAGATGACTTGTAATCCAGTACATCTTTAGAATTCGAAAATAAGGTTTAAAAGCCTTACACCAGATGGCAGGATTAAAGATAAAACGGCAAGATCAAAAATATATAAGGAAATGAAACTCTTTCTACCTAATATTACAGATGCAAATTTGCGTAAGAAAACTAAGAGCAAGAAAAATTCTTACGCTATTTGGTAATAGAGGAGTAGGCATAGATGAAATTGAATACATTACATATAGTGCAAGTACAATTTCGGGATTGAAAGATACTCAAATTCATCCTATCATAAATGAGGTGACTTCAAAAACCGTGACAAAATGTCACGATCAGACCACTCCCTCTATCTCATTGTCTCATACGTCTACCCACTCCGTGACTGCCTCTGGCAATTCGGAAGATATAATAAGTGAGGATAACAAATCTTTACCAGAGACTGAGATAAACGTATCTGATGAAACCTTAGATTCTGACTTAGATGATAATGGCGATATTGTCGTCAACCAGCTTCCAGTTGAGAATTTCTCTGATAATGACCTGATTACGTTTACTGTCAAATTAAAAAATCGTTCTCCACTTTACATGAAATAAAAGATGCAATTTTTCTACTGTCTTCCCTTCTGCAAAGCCAACGTGACATTTAACAAACTCATCGAACTTGGTTTCACCTATCTTAAATTTGAATATCCGCATGTCCCGCGATTAATTTTCTAATCGGGATTTCTTTGCATAAATGGGCCCATTCATCGTTTTGGAGAATATTCCTTTTATGGCTTTAACGGCTACTTTTTTTTTTGTTGTTGCGAAGATGATCCCGAAAATATCCATTTGTGTATAGATTCATCATCATATAGTTCTTCACGTGGGATGTAAAGTAAAAAAATGCCGATGAAGAAAACTCTCGTGAAACCAATATCAACACTACTATCGCTGAACAAATCAGCAAGATCAGAACCGAAATTAATAACGATCTTTAAGTTCTCGTGATACTAGCTATGCAATGGAGGCAAAATATCATAACATGATAAATGGAAAATATAACGAAATCGAGCGAGTTCTAGAAACCTACCATAATAATTTTAGTTGAATTACAGGATGTTCACAACGCTCCGGAGCGAAATCAATCAACAACAATTCATTGTCCAGATTGTTAACAGGAGAGGATTTGACCAGCAAAGCGAGACTTCATCAAATTTCTCGGATTCAAGTGAAAGATTTGCGAATATCATTTCTGTTAAGGGTGCAAGGAATTATTCTTTAGATCAGATGTGTGTTATTGTATCGGTTTATATTCTTAGACTTGAGATGGGATCAATTGGAAAAGATACAATAAAGATAATTTAGAAAGATAGGTGCTTGGATAGATAACATTCATTTATACCTTTGAGTAGCGGAAAGGAACTGCCAATATATGGGTTAGGACTTGGCAGGCTTAAACAAGTAGGCATGTTCTTTTATGCCTTTGTTCCCTTGATACATCCTGCTACTCTATTATTTTCACTTAGCCGGCCGGCCCTTGCTCATATTATTTTACGAAAAAAAAATAGCTTAGCATTGAAGCTCTATTTCTTGAAGAAATAATGAAATAAATATATGATTGACCTTTTTATTGTATGTGTGCTGAATGATTGATTTGTGCGGATTAAACCGATGCCCCTTTGATGATCTTTATGTACGGGATAGCGTTAAATTTTCCTATTGTAAATAATGGTTAGTAATCGGTATAGAAATAAATTATCAGTAGAAATTATCCTGAGAGCAAAGAATAACTTATGCTGGGACTCGCATAAATTTTAACCGTGTGGTTTGTTATTATCCGATTTGGCAGATAAGGGCTGTGATTACCAAGAAATAACTTGGATATCCATTGATTCGTAGCTTCGCCGCCAGAGACTGGCCGACACGAAGCTATGTTCTCCTAAGTATCCATAGATACAAGGGAAGTTCTCACCGCCAGAGACCGGCCGACGCGAACAGTTGCTAGCCATAAGTAACTCATAACTTCACCGCCAGAGACCGGCCGACATGAGAAACTTCAGCATAGTTACATTACCCAAATTACCCAAAAGTACAAGCAATGAGGAAAATCGTTTTTTATCCTAAACCATTACTGATCATGTGATATAGAATTGCGACTTAATAATCTCGATTGACGCGTTTTGACCGCGTTTTGACAAGAATAAAAAAAATGACAGCGACGTTAAGATCGAATATCTACGTACATTTTTTGGCACCTGATTATTTAGATATTAACGATTATTTTAAAAAAGTAGATGCCCAATACTGGAAGCTTAAACATTATATAAACTATCGTTTGGAGACCGAAAGTATAATTCCAGCCTGGACCACTGTTTATGAAGATTGGGTTGATTCACTCGACATGATAGCAAAAACTAATCACAAGAAAGTTCCCAGCAGTATAAGTTCGTTTTGCAATGAATTAACGAATTTCAATACTTTTGAAGGAGAGACAATCCTAGAGCGTTGTAAGGAATGGTACCATAATTTCTACGAGCGTTACTGTGATCTGCAACTCGCGGAGAAAGTCCAGCGTATAGAAGAAAAAATATACACTTCTCAAAAAGCAATATATTCGTCGCAAAAATTATCAGAGCTGTTACAAGGAACGACAGATATAAAAAAAAGGAGATCACAGGATGATGACGATGACAACAAAGCAGGCCCGTCAAATGAAAAACGTAGTCGGCATGAGGTGCATGAGTACATTGTTTGATATGCTATTAGATATCAACGCCACTTTATTTCTAACTCATTTTTATTATGTTACTAGTATTTATCGTGTGAGAGAGAGTATTATCAACGTGAACAAGACGAGCCACGAATACTTGAGTGTTCAATAGAGGTGCTTATCTTTATTTTAATTTTTAGCGCGAAGACATTTTATACAATCTGACCCACGAACTTTTTTGGATGTATTCGCAGGCTGAAGAACCTCCGATTGAGTGGGAATTCAGTACACCAAAACCAGATTGGCTAGATAAAATGACACGGGAGCATCAATCGTTAATATCTACAATGTTTTCTAATAATGATCCAAAAATTCGACATGAATTGTCATCAAAGTAAATATTTTTTTGAAAAATGCCGATTTTTTCGTTATGTGGTATCCTGATTCTAATAAGTTTTTTTTAAAGTCCAATCTTGTGGAAGATCATTGATTTATCTGATCAAAGAATCACGAACCTTTTATCATAAAATGAATTATCAGAATTAAATACAATAATTTCAACTTCTCTTAAAAATTGGACGAACTTGGAACCTATGGCAGAGAGATATCTAGATTCTTTAGCAAAAGTATATTATGAAAATTAAAGTATTTTGATTTCTAGTTGAAATCTTTTTAATTTTTTTGTTTTTCAGCTTGATGGTAATCAACTTCGCATCATCGGTGAAATTGTAAGGCCCAAGGGTACACACGGTGCAATTCTTGAATTGCAAAAAATATTAAACAACATTAAAGAAAAATCACCTGAAGAATCTGATGATCTCTTTGAAGATAAAGATACTTTTGAAAACGATGATAAAAACCTTCATAAAGAAATCATATTATATATTGAAGATCACACAAATGCTGATGTTGCATTTATTTTTGATTTAATTAGGTTTACGTAAGTTAATTTAATAGTTTGGTATTAAATAAACATGCAGTTTAATAAGTTTTACATTATATAATTTCAATCAGATGCGAAATGATCGCAAAAGGAATCCCTCAACGACAAAATTCTGAACGAGACATTGATATGTTTATAAAGAGACACGTATTCTCTTGCTTCGACACTATCCTAGATAGTCATTTGTAAGTTTATTTTTATTTTTAAATACCTTTCTATTACCGGTAACAATGCTTACAATTTTTCCTAAGTGGTGAGGTAGTGTCGAGATCTTCTAGAAATTGTCGAGTAGAAGCTATAGATGCATCAAGTAATATAGAAGGATATCACCTTGACTGGATGTTTACGGTATGGAACATTCCTAAAGGGTTTCAATGTCAATTATTGATGTATTTGCTAACATCAATTTTCAGAAACATGATTTAGGAAAAGAACTGTGCTGGGGTCGGGAATTTTCACTTTGTGAGCGAGCTGGCTCCAAGAGTGAAGATACACGAAAGGTTCTTTCGAATACTCTTAAAGTACAAAAAACCTTAAGGGATATGCATCGAAATTTATTTGAATCAATATCTGCTGAGAGTAACGGAACGCTATCAAAACCAGTCATTCATGCTAGCACCAAACTTTTGATGCCTGGATTTTTGTCATCATATTTTTTCTTACGTATAATTTTAATCATCTATATTGGAGGTGGATTCTATGTATCTGCCAATTTAGCGGATTTTTACATTCCAACAAAATATGAGGAACTAGAGTCAATCCTTAAAATCTCGCGTACAATGCTTCAAATAAAGGTTTGTATCATCCAAACAATCTACAAATTATGATTTCACACTTACTTTTCCTGTTTTTGCAGAAATTATTATCCACCACTATTTCTCGATTTAAAAGTATGAGAAACAGAGCAGAAAAGGAAAAATTTTCTCCGGGAAAAGTGAAAGTTCCTACTAGAAAGCAGAAATTCGGATCGCCCCCAAAACCGAAGGTTAGTAGCAATATTTGTCAGACGTATTAATAAGATATTTCATTTCTTTGATTCTAGAATCCAATTGAACAGAAAAGGCCGGATAAATAATTTTAAATGTAGACTTTATCACATTGTCAAATTCTGAAATAGAATAGATTTTTATCATAAGCGTGGTATATTACATTTGTAACGATCACGGGCTACATCATGGTTTATTAAATTTTATTGGCAAAATTTCAGCGAACTTGATTCGCCAAAATCACGTGTTTATTTTATTTGAATGTTTGTTTATTGTACATGAAAAGTGCTATCGAAAATGGAATCTGAAGTTAACTTTCTTAGACAGGAGAATGCCAGACTTATGGCTAAGATTACTAGGCTTGAGGTTGAGAATGCTGATGTTAAGGCCAAGTATGATGAGTGTTCCAAATAAGTCAGTTCGGGATGTAACTCATTTGATGGGTCGGGTCGATCACCAACTCAAACCCAACCCGAAGATCATCGGATCATATTATTAGAAGTATTATTATCACGCGGAATTTTTTTTGTTAGATACTTTATTTGTGATTCTTATGGCGATTAAATTCTAACTTTTGAGACAATTTTGATCTGGCTGGTTCAAAATACTTGCTAAATTTCTCTCAATCAAATTTTTTTCGGAAACATTTATTTTTTTGCTAGAAATCATTAGTTCCAATTTTTCTATTAGTCACATTAACGAGATTACAAGTATATTAAATAATTAAGCAACGCGATGAGTTTATTATTTAAGGTTCGAAATTTATTTAGAATACAATGATCTTTCTCCTTTTATATTGATACTAACTTATACTTCGCTAAATTTAATCTTGTCCTACAAGAAAATCGATCAGAATTAACCATGTTGAGATAATGAGCCTTCTGGTGAATCAGAATCGTTATAGAAAAAAGCAACCCAAAAGAATTTGGTACTAGATCACAAAGGAATACTGTAAATGATTTACAAGCAAAAAAAAGAAAGCACAGGAGGCTACAGAAATAGAGGAGAAAAGGAGACAAAGAAAAGAGAAAAGGTTCATCTTATTTTTCTTTGGAGTTGTTTTTCCTTTATATTTTTACTAAATATAATTATTTCTTTAGTGCATTAAAAAAAGTCTATGGATATTTGCTACTGAATATTTTGATGGATTATTTTACAGACTATAAATATAACCCCAGTAATCAAGCTCAAGATATAATTTGAAGTGTCGCAAATGACATTCTGCAAATTTAAAATTATTTACTCAAGTATTTTGATAAGAGATTGAAACGGTCATTTGTATCATTGCATCAGATAGATTTTCGCAGCAAATGAATTTGGGAAAAATAATAATAGATCCTGGGGATGCCATTAAATTACGATAAACTTTCAGGCGAGATTGATAATAAACTTAGAGTTGCCATAGTATTTGATAAAGAGGAAGCATTGACAACAGGTATATTAGGCGTTGATCAAGTTGAGGGTGAAAAAGATAGAGTTTCATTTAGATAAAGAAAACGAAGGGTTTCGAACTGCTATTGGCCCAGATACTGCCAATTTAAAGGTCACTGATATATAGCCTTTACAAAAAATCTCTGCATAATAGTAATAATACCTTCTGGCTTCAGCATCTAATATCAATTACTATCCAGATCCAAACATCATACAAGAAAAGATAGTGAATATCATAAAAATACTTGAATTAGATAAAAATACTCGTGACCATGAAAATAAATTAACAAATCTTTTTGATAATGACAAATTCAGTCTGGTCAATATATTGATAAGAAATAAGGAATTAATTTTATGGTGTAGGAAACTTGCCAAAACTGGAACAAACAATGCTAAGCAACAAAATATTGAACATGAAATTGCAAGGATTTGAATAGATTCTTAAAGAACTTGAAGGAGAGTGGATTCATTGTGATGAAATTACCACCCAGAAAAGTGTGGTTGAGGATGAAATGGAATAGATAATATACCTGTTGTTATTTATTGGAAGTCCGGATGAAGAAAGGTAATGATTATTATGTATTACTATGTTTATTTAAGAAAATATTACCAACTCAATTCTAATTTTGACAAGTCTGATCGGGTTTCAATCATTATGCGGGATCGAGGAGAATGACATTTTGCAATTTATAATCGAAGTCCAGCAAAATGCTAGGAGGGAGGAAACTGGATATTCTTTGACGAAAGAAAAACATGTAATAACATTGATCTAACAGATCTATAGCTTATTGATATATTATGAAAAATTGATTTACCATAATATCTGAATATTGCTGTATGTATCCCTTACCATTTGCGAACGAGGAGTATCAGTGTATTTGATCTAGAAATTAAAAAATTTGAATAGCAAAGTAACCTTGTATATGAAATAAGGCTACTTCTCAATCAAATTCTTGATTATGTTTGGAATTATAGTGTAAGAATAAATAGCGATATATTCAAATAATGGTAAAACCATATTTGAAGGAGTTGGATGATCTGATTTTCTCAAAATTATTATTTGTCTCGCAACAATTTATTAAAGAACCATACAGCGTTTTAGTTTATGTAATGTCAAACATATCATTAAACATACTGTATCATGTTCTTTTTACGAGTTTGCAAGATTGCCCACTGATTTGTAAGGGTTTGGCATATAAATTCGTTTATTTATATTGGCATTAGGTCTTTGTTATTAGCCAAGATAATATGAAAAATCATTGTATTTGAAACATCAGAAATAATGATTAACTATTTAGAATTAAAATATTTATACGACTTTAAGTTTATATTTTGCTCTTTGTTTACTCAATATTCTGTATTATAAAATTTTATATATGTTAATAAATTTTAAAATATAAAGTTTAGCTTCAGACTTAACGGTTATTCTCGTTATGATGAAAAGGGTTATCAGACTTGGAAACTTCATTATTGTATAAATTTAAAATTCTCTAGTAGGTTAGCACATGGAAGAAAGCAAAGTAAAAAATAAATTAAAAATAAATTATACATTCAATATTCTGGATCTCTGATTAATAAAGTATTAAAAATTTTGCTTTTTTTTTTATAATAAAAAATTTTTTTAATAAAGTTATAAGAATTGTTTAATAAAAAATTATTAAAAATAAAAATAATTATATTTAAAATGACTGAACATTTTTTATTTTTTAAACTCAGAATGAAAATATTAAACAGGTCAAACAGTTCAAATGAGTCTAACTCTAACTTGATCCGAAATTATTACATAAGCAAATTATCTGTCCCAATATATAAATTTTAGGTTAAGTATTGACTTATTCTGAATACTATTTATCATAATTTCTACATACAGCGATTTTTAATATTCTTCTAATATATAATTGTTTTTTCCACAGATTTTTTCAATTCTATCAATATATGGACATTTATAAAATGATATTAGGCTTTATAATTTTTATATATAAAAATTGTTTCAATAAAAAAAATAAAAAAAATCTTTCCTATTCATCATCACATTTTCTAATTAGGAAATTTTCTTTATAAAGAAAACTTCATCAAGTCCTTTTCTCAAAACACTCCAAACAGCAAGAAACAACATTACTGTCAAATATAATGGATCAAGAATACATTAAACTTTACTAACTTATTAATTTATAAATCATAAAGCAAACAACTTCAGTTTATTTTTTTTTTGTAAAAGAGAAAGATAAAAATCAAGCTTCCTGATTTACAGTAAGGTTTCAGGAAGCCAGCATCCCTATTATCACTATAGCCAGTCATGTACCAGATTAAATATCTTCTTTACACACTGTAAAAACTCAAGAAAGATCAAATCTTATTTGATAAATTAGATAATCTTATCATCTTCCTTGAGCTAGAAAGATATTAGTCTTTATAGAAATAAGAAAAAATCTTATCATATATACACCAATCCATAAAAACCAAAACAAGCTTACTTTCTCCAAAATCAGTATGTTACAAACATGTCTCCTAGAAGAAAACAATTTCAACAACAACAAATAAACAAGATCAACATGCATCAAGTAAGCAAGATTCATCAAATCTAAATATTAATAACAAAACATATTAACAGGACACATCCACATTAAAACACTTTATCAATCAAATTGTGTCAACATATATGATAACAAACATGTTTGCATCAAAGCATGTTTATATCAAAACACTTTATTAATCTAATCTCATTAAATATCATATTCACAAACAATATGTAACAAACATATAACAAATCAAACATCACAACAAGAAATAAACCTAATTATATCTATGGCCAATCATACTATATCCAAACTTTCTATTGCAATATCTCTTTTGTCAACTATTCAAATTACTTAATATGTCACATTAACAATATTAATGATCTTAATATCTAATAACATATCATATACAATCTCCTTCATTCTTCTAAACATAGTTTTAATAGAGAGACAAGCAGTAAGTATTAATTATATATTAAAACTCAAGGCAAAATAATTATCACCAATTTTTTTAATACTTCCATCATTCTATACTTGTCAAACTATTTATCCAAATAACTTATACCTATATCCAATCTAATCAAAAAGATAAAAAATCTTTCTGTTATTCAAATTGAATCCTTTTTCAGTCCAAACAAGAAAAGCCTTTCTACTTAAGTATCAGTTCACAAAGAAAAACTATCCAAATATCTTGATGAATTCATGAAATATCAAAATTCTTTCTAATCAATTTTTAAGAAGAATAATAGTCTTAGAAATTTCTTCTTCCAGATGATTCTAAAAAAAAAATGAAATTATTTCAAGCATATTGTATTTCATGAAACAGAATTAAAATTATTAGAAATACTTTGAAAGGCAAAAAAACTTATGCTCTTAAAAATACCCACCATTTCAATTTTCAGTTCACATACCATTTATCCATATCTACAATCATCTCACCAGAAAATTTTTCAACAAAAAACCTAATCACAAAATCACAAATCAAAGGTTCTAATTAACAGAATTCAGATAAACCAATTCAAAAAACTTTCAGTAGCCAATTAAATTTCAGTGTAATTATAGATAAACTCCTCCTATTAGCTACCTATACAAATAAAAACCAGCCAATGGTCATATATCAAATTCCTTTAATAGAAATCCTT